AATCACACTGAACTGGACTTTCATATTGTGTTTTGATGTGTTTCCTATGCAGATCAAGTCTCTTGTCTCTTTATCAACTGGAATGAATTCATCAGTATCCAAGTCAAACTTCAATTTGGATTTATTAACCACAATAGTGTCTACTAATGTAAACATCTTGATGTTCGAGCGACTCATTTTATATGTGCACACTTTGAGCTTTTCTTTCTTCTGATTTTTCTTTAATATTACAATAAGAGTAATTATTATCAATAAAACTATTATTATCAACACTAGTAGAATTGACATTGGAATACCAATTGCCGCTCCTAGATTTGTAGTTGAAAAACAACTGTCACCACTTTCAGATGGTTTGTTAAATCCTTTGCATGTCACACATTTTGAATTCGTAGCTTCAATACAATTTGGTATTTCAGAGTAGTGTACACATTTGAAATCATATAAAACGTAATCTTTTGATACACAATTTGTACACACATTTTGTGAAATACAGGATGTGCACAATTTCTCACATTTTGTACAACGCGAATTTGATAAGTAATATCCATCGGCACAGACTTCACACCCATAATACCCAACTTTCAAACAGTTTGTATTTGTTGTGTTGAGTTGACACAAGCGACTTTCAGACTCAATGATGAAATAGCCATCTGCACACACAGAACATGAAGTGTTGCTTATACACGAACTACATGAAACGTCACACACTATACAGTCTTTAAAGATTTTATAATATCCATCTTTACATATAGCACATCCACCACCGGTTGGTAATGCGACACTGCATCTTGCAGCCAAATCACCAAGGGTCTGGCATCGATTTTTTGAATCGAGATAAAACTCACTTTCACATGAAGTACAATATGTCTGTGAGTAACACGAATTGCAATCGTTGGTGCATTTCACACACTCATTATTATTAAAGTAATATCCATCATAACACCGTTGACATCCTTTGTTGTTTCTAATTTGACATTTCAACTCAGTAACTCCTTTCAAATTGAGTGGATATTCAAAATTGGATATAACAGACACTGGAAGTTCGGATTCCGTTTCTGGTGGAACAACAGGAGTTTCATCTTCAAATGATTCCTTACACACACCACCTTTCAATTTAAATAAATCGTTACATTCTACACATTTACTAGTTGAAAAAGCAAGTCGTTTACAATTTGGATATACTGTTGGGGGTATTGGAAGACAGAAATCGAATTTGCCTTCAACGTTCAAAGAGTCAACCTGATAGAACCCACTTGAACACAACACACAACCAGACACACTCGACTTGTCACAGTTTTGTTCATTTTGAGAAACGCATTGATTTTCTTTGACCATCAAATAATCATTGGAACATCTCTTGCACTTGTTTCCTTCACAAAATAGGCAGTTTGGTGTTTGGCAGGCTGTGCATATTCCATTGCTGATTTGTGATGACACCGACTTACATTGAGAGCAGTAATCTTGTGTATATTGCAAACACATATCATCTGTTACACATTGCTCTGTCCCATCATCTTTGACTGTGTTTTGTGTGCATTTCAATGTGTATGTGTTATTTCCATTATTAATACAAATCGAAGCAAAATTTGGACACACTTCGCATACATTGTTATTATTTAGATATTGACCATCTAAACAACTGTACTGAACACCATTTCTATACAATTCATTTGATTCAATTTTGTTACATGTATTTTGTGATAAAGTAAAATTGTCTGTGCACACCAAACACGTTGAAATTGAATTCATTGTTTTCTGATATTTGCAATTTGAAGCAATTGACACACAATCGGAATTGATCGATATTTGGTCTGAACAATCACACGACGCCGGTGACAGATTCGATGGGCCGTTACAGTTTTGAGCACTTTTACACAGCCCATCTGACATAAAATAAACATCAGTGCATTGAACACATTTAGTGCTTTCAATTTGTACAGCACAAGTTGTATTTCTATTTACACACTGATTTGTTGTACTGTCGTAATATGAAGTTGAAGCACATTGGTCACAACTTTTACCATTTGAACTTAAAGTGTATGGGGGATAACAATTGTTGCACTTCGCATTGCCAACAGAAGCCGTTCCACAATTTTTACAATTCAGAATAGCATTGTAACACTTGTCACATGTAGTCTCTGTCTTTTTGTAAGTTCCAGCTTCACATGAAATACATTTTTGATTTGAGAGGTAATACGGGTCTTTGCAACTGAAACAATTCTTTTCTGTTGTATTACAATTGTTGCAATTGCTTGTTATTGTTGAGCACGCAACACAGTTTCCATTTGAGTCGGGGTAATACCCATTTGAACACTTTACACACCTTCTTGAATAATCAAAAGCACAAGTCACACAATGACTGTCAAATGTTGCACATGGCACACAACTTCTTCCTTTTGGTTCATTGAAAACGTAATTGTATGAACACGTGTTACAAATACCATTTGCTGTGTTACAATCTTCGTTACATGTTGAGTCACAGTCTTGGCATACTTTAGAAGAGTCATTTGGGTATTTTCCCATTTTGCAAACAGCACACTCTCTTTTATCAGAAACACAAGTCGCACAATAGAAGTCGAATGTTTGGCAACTTTCACACTTAAACGGATCCGATGTTGTTGGAACATACGATTCGTTACACCCAGTACAATGTCCATTTGTCGTGTCACACTTTCCTCCACATGTGGCATCACAATATTTACATTTGAAATCGCCAGCTGTTTGTGGGTAACAACCAGCAACACATTTTATACACTTTCGTTCAAATAATGGTGAACACGTCACACACCTCGAATCAAAAGCAGTGCAATCAACACAAACATTTGAAATTGGATTTGTGATGATTTTATTTTCGGTGCATTTTTCACAATTGCCATTTGACGTGTTACACGTATTTAGAGCACACGGTGCTTCACATGGTATGCATTTCCCGTCTGCGTTTGGATAATATCCCGTGTTGCATGTGGTACAAGTTCTCTCATAATTGGAGTTGCATGTGACACAGTTGCTATCAAAATCAGAGCATTTTTGGCACTTCAAATTGTTTATTTCAAACAAAACATAGTTGCTTTGACACCCTGTGCAATGACCGTCTGTTGGATCACACTTCCCTCCACACGTCGAGTCACATAAACCACATTTCATTTCTCCATTTGTTAACACAGGGTAATAATTGTCGTTACATTGAATGCAATTTCGTGTCTCATTCTGAGCACAGAATTTACAATTGGAATCAAAGGAATCACATCTTTCACAACCCATTGATGTTATACTTGTTACATAATTGGGCAAACAATTGGTGCATGCTCCCGTTTGTCCATTACATTGATTACATGCACCATTGCAGGTATGCACTTCTTGGTTGAAGTATCAACATAGTGTCTGTTTGTACACGTGTTACAACCTCTATTGAAAGACGAGTCGCAGATAAAGCAACTTGAATCAAATTCAGTACAAGCAACACAAATGCTTTTGTTTGTATCACCAAAGACCATGTTGTTCTGACATCCAGTGCAAAATCCAGTAGAGCTATCACACTGATTGTTGCACGTGTCGTCACACTTCTTACATTTGTTTTCAAACACAAAATAACCAGAAACACAAGTCACACATTTTCTTGTAAAGTCTGGCGAACAAGTTTGACAATTTGGATCAAAAGACACACAACTCTCGCATCGTAAATTGTTTGTGGTTGACAACACGTAATTGGTGGCACACCCAGTGCAATGACCATCTTTCCCATCACACTGATTTCCACAGGTTGAATCACAATTGACGCAATTAGCACCGTCTTTAGGGTATTTGCCGTTTCGACACGTAACACACTTTCTTGAGAAATCTGACGCACACTCGTCACAATATTGATCAAAAACACTGCAGTTATCACATTTGTATGATAATGGCGATGTGACAACGTAATTCGATAAACACAATGTACAAGTCCCATACATTGGATCACAGTTGTTGTTGCAAGTAGCATCACAACTCACACAAACCCCATCAACTGAAGGCTTGAAATGGTCATTGCACTCTTTGCAGTATCGCACAAATAATGTTGTGCATGTCTTGCAATTTTTATCAAAATCTGCACATGGAACACACGCCGTGTTATTGATAGTTGAAGGCACAAAGTTTGTTTGACACGCCGAACATTTTCCTGTTGCGGAACTACAAGTGGTGCACCCGTAGTCACATGGTACACACCGCCCTTGTTTTGGGTAATAATTATTCTCACAAATAATACAAATTCGTTCTTTGTCTGACGAACATGTATTGCAATACACGTCAAATGTTTTACAGGGAACACACACTTTCGATTTTGGATTCTCAAAAACATAATTTGAAACACAACTTGTGCACATTCCTGTTGTCACATCACAGTTGTTGTCACACGTCCAACTGCATTTTTTACATATTTTAGTTCTATCATCTGGATATTTAGTCGTTTTACATGTTAAACACCGCCGTTCTCCTGCTGCACAAGTGGTGCAATTTTCATCAAAAGTTGAACACGGCTCGCATTTGGAAGAATCTAATAATGTTGGTACATAATTTGATGCACAACCGGTGCAGTATCCAGTCACACCACTACAACTCCCTCCGCACGACGAATCACAAACAACACATTTTCCATTGACTGGATGATAATTGGTGCTGCACTCAATACATTTTCTTGTGAAATCAGTTGCACATGTTATGCATTTTGAATCAAAATCTGAACATTTTTGACATGTTTTAGAAGTTGGAGATGTCACAACGTAGTTTTGAATACATTTTGTACACAACCCATTTTTTGTATCACACGTGTTTGCTTTGCAAGTTGCATCGCATGAAATACACTGTCCTAATGAACCCGGATAATACCCCGCTGTACATGTCACACAAATTCGATTTCCACCATTTTGACACGTTACACATTTGTTATCAAATGTTTTACAAAACACACACACTCTTGATGGGGGGTCTTCAAACACATTTTCTGATGAACACAACGTGCAAATGCCAGTTGCTGAATTACACGTTGTGCATTTTGTCGCACATGAAACACACTTCCCACTGTCGTTTGGATAAAACCCTGTGTTGCAAATTAAACATCTGCGACTAAAATTAGCTGCACATATAGCACAATTTGAATCAAAATCCCTGCATTTTTGGCACACTCTCGAAGTTGCATTGATATAAACATAATTTGATGCACACGAAGTACAATATCCGGTATTCCCATCACATTTGGAGTCACACGACTCATCACATTTTGAGCACTTTTTGTTGTCAGAAATATAAAACGTGCTTTTACACTGTGAGCAACTTCGTGTTCCATCAGTTGCACAAGTTTGGCAGTTGTTATCAAAAGAAGAACATAATTCACATGCTAAAGATGGTTGGTTGAGTTGTGGGACATATCCACTCACACATGTTGTGCAATATCCAGTTGACGAATTACATCCATTTGCACAACTTGAGTGACACTGTTGGCACGTATATGGCGATGTATGAAGTGGATACAATCCAATTGAACATGTTTTGCATTGTCTGAGCGTTTGTGAACACAAAACACAATTGGGAAAGGCAGTTGAACAACTGTCACAAATTTTGTTGTCTGATGCGGGTTTTGTAAATCCACTTGCACACACAGAACACATCCCAGTTGTTCGAGAACACACACTACACGACAAATCACAATTAATACATTGTTTATCATCATTTGGGTACATTCCAGAGACACACTGATAACACTGCCTGTTCGGTTCAAGGCAAATTTCACAATTACTGTCATAATTATTGCACAATTCACACTTTGTGCTTGATGTGGATTTCAAAACATATCCAGAAGCACATGTAGTGCATATACCCATTCCCCAATTGCAATTGCCACACGTTGAATCACACACTGTGCAAACTTGACTGTTGTTATTATAGTAATGGTCAAAACATATATTACATTTATTTTTGCCACTTTGTCCACCAATACACTGTTTACATCCAGCACCACATGATATACATTGTGCGTTGTCATAATAATAACCACCGTCACAACTTGAACATTTAATTACATCATTTTCCGTCCAACAATACAAACAACCAGTAGGACACTTCTCGCATATTTTGACTAGTCCATCTTCTTTAATGTAATATCCATTGAGACACGAATAACACCATTTTACATATATTTGATTGCAACTTGTGCACCCCTCCATATATCCACATGGAACACAATTTTTATTATATGGAAAATATCCCGGGTTACATTGACTGCACCAATATTGATTTATATGATAAGTTGCACAATTTGTTGCTTTTGGATAACACTTTCCATCATAAAGTAAATAATTTAGTTTACACGAAGTACAAAACCCTGTGCTATTGTATAAAAGACAATTTGTCGAAATACATTGACTGTTTTTGTTCCATGATAAAAGTCCACTATCTCCACAAACTGGTAGACAGTTAGTGTTATTTTGAAGAAAACATTTTACAATAGAACCACCATCACATCTTAAAACTTGATAACCATCTTCACATCGGTAACAATCGTTTCCGTTGTAACTAACACACTCCAAACAATTTGGTTGTAACGTTGAGCCACATGTGATATCTTTTTTATTGTAACTTGTTTTGAATGAACTATATTGTCTCACCCAATTTGAATCTATTCCGAATGTAGAATTGTTCACATTGTCGAAAACCTGTTTTGTGTTTTGAAATATGACTTTGGTGTTGTTAAGGAAAAAATTAAGTACAATAACACTTTCATCAAATCTAATTTCTATTTCTTTTAATATTAAACACTTAATTGTGGCTTCATCATATTGAAAGTTGTTCAATAACACGACACCATCCTTATCAACAACTTTGTTATTGGTATTGTCGGTATCACAATCACATTGTATATAATTTCCTATTGTACACCAACGGGAAGTTGCAAGTGAAATTATTAACGACAGTATCAATATAAACATAAAGACTTGTTGTCATATTTGAGTTTAATATATTTAAATAGGGATAACAATTGTATTTTTAAATAATTTATAAAATAACAATATTTCAAGGAATCAATAATCAACAGAGTTAGTTTTCCAACTTTATTTAGATAAAAAAAGATAATTTAATTATATGTACACATATTGTATAAAATATTTGTTATTTCAAAAAATATACAATAAAAATTTAATAAATATGGCTTTTCAAAAAATTACATTTATTATGATACAAATAATGTTTTTTATTATATATTCTTTTTGTACTTCTTTTTTTAAGTGAAGATATAAAATAACAACTTATTTAAAAGAAAGAAGTACAAAAAGAATACTGTTTAAAAACTAACTGTGTATATTTTCCAACAATAAATGTAATCGTATCACATTTGTCTTTTTGTTTATTTCATCAAATTTAATAATTTCGTATTTCAGAAATTTAAAAGTAAAAATATACAATTAGATTATTATAAGGTTTATGTTTATTAATTAATTTGATAGATGTATTTATGAAAAAATCATATTATTTTTTTGAATTGTTAAAAAAAATAATTTAACATCGAAAAAATAATATTCAAACCAAAAACAAGTTATTTTTATTTGTCAATATTATTTGTTTGACATAATTAGAAACAAAAAAATGTAATTGGTATTGCGACCAATTATAAATAACATTATTGATGATTGTAATCAGTTTAAAAACCATTCAATTTGTCATCAGACATACTAAAAAAAACAAATACTAACTAACTAATTTTATAATGACTTTATTAATTGTTGAACCAGGGTCTATCATGGAACAGGGAAAAATTTGGAACTTGTCCCAAAAATGCATTTTAAAATGAAAAGGGGTATATTTTCTTTGTTTTTATAACAAAAATAAAGTAGTTTTAGTAAAATTCATAGTATTGTTTGTTTTTGCGATCTCCATAACCTTTTCTTTACAGATGGAAACTTTTTGCCGCGGTCATTTTTAATGTTAAAACGACAGTTAACAACAAAACTATAAAATATTAAAATGTATAGTATATAAATAAATGGTTTATTAATATAATATTTATACTATATAAAATAAAACCATAAATTATAATTGATAATATTATAAAATATTAGAAATTGTTTAATAAAGATGAAATAATAATTTAATTTATTAAAATAAAATTTGTTATTAACCATACTTTTCTTAAAATATAGTTAAATGAAATCAACAAGAACAGAGCTACTGTTCGATTACTTGTTGAATTTGATTTATTGTTGCTTTTTATCACTTTCAAACATCATATTGTGGTTAAATATACCAAATTAATATCGAATATATGTAATATCATGGACTACAACAAAACTTTGAATTACAATACTTGGTGTTGTTGGTAATTTTTTTGTATTAATAAACGTGCAATACTTTGATAGGACAAAAGAGTTATAATTCTCAGGTAAATAAATAAAAAAGTTTGTTATTATTGATGCATTAACAGAGTGTTTGAAACAAAACTCCACTATTATGCACATTTTATTGTTTAGTCATTTTGTTTTTTTTCCAAAGTTAATATTAAATCATATATTTACTATTTTTATAAGTAATTTATTTACTTAAAAACTGTCAGTCAGTTTGTTTGTTGGTGTGTTTTAATATAGATTACAATTTTATTATTTTAAATTAACAATCATGATAATAATTATTGATTTTATATAAAAAATGTTAAAGAATATTATATAAAAGTACTATAAAAACAAGTCAGTGGAAAAAAATCTGGCTCGTTTTAAATTATAATAAAATATAATATTTATTGGTATATGTTACAAACGTTTGAATTGTTTATACTAATAAACTCAGTTTTCTGTCATCGAAAACGGAGTTTCAGAGTTACAGAAAAGTTAATGAAATGGCTTGCAAAAACGGAGCTTCGAGAAAGTGGATTCTTCGCAATGACGTACAGCTGGTAAGATGGGACATATGTGGGGTTTGTTGAGCCACAGCGTGATTTCGTTGGTGTTGTTTTGTATTTGTATTACTACTACACACGAATGACGCAAACAACTGGATTAATTAAAGACAAAACAGTCAAACAACGAATTAGAAATTGGAGATTTTTTGTTGTATCGAGATTGGAACCATATTATTAAGCCAGACTATTCGATATGGGAGGAAAGCAGCGACGCATGGACTTCATTAAGTGTAATTGCAGTACTATGGATTCACACAAATTCAAGGCCACCACAGATTGTTGGCGGCTGCTATGATGAAAGAGAAGTATTTCAAAAATACTAAAAGAGCCGAATTACTGAGAAAAAGACGCAGGACCTATCAACTTCATATTAAAATTGTTCTGGAATGAAGAGAAAGGACACTTTGTCCAAGTCATTTGGCAGGACAACAAAAGCAAAAAGTGATCATCGACACAGCGACTGCAACTATGACATTCAGTGACATTGTAACCGATCAAATAAAGATAAAAAACACTTTGATAACATCAGAAAGTTCAACACCAAACATGAATACGGCATTGCTAAACATCCACAAGACTCATACTTCTATTCCTCAAAGTGGAATAATGAAAGAAAAGAAGCTTGTGAAGCAAGCCTACTATGGGGAATTGTCACAATATTTATGAGTTGGGCTGATTGCTATACAACGAATCGACAATCATGCAGGCTAGTTAAAAACAGATTGAACTGGATGATTAAACATATAATAAACGATTATATGCCATGTGGTAAAGCTGTAGACTAAATCACCGGCGACCCAATTATGTCGTCAATGCCTGATGCATACAAACATTAAAGCTATTTTTGTCCACAATGTTCGAGACTATATAACTTTAAAAGACTGACTCTATAAACAATAAAATATTATATTATTAAGTTTTTAAAAATCAACATATCATTTATTAATAGTATTTATATTATTTTTTATAATAAGTTGATAAAATAAATTAACATATTATTGCTATAGTTTATTTTGTTGAAACCTAACTGTTTCAACTATGGAACTTTTTACTTCACAATTTTATTATTACGCCCAAATGTTTGTTCTATTATCTATTATCATAACATTTCAATGTATTTTATAATTCCGTTGCAATAATTGTTTTAATTATAATTGTTAATAGACCAATTGGTGGTTATTATGATATATCAATTTGATATTTATCTTGATACAAACACCATGTTTTTACTGTGTTACATATTCATCAGATCAAATAAGTTATAATTAACAATTAGATAAATACTTGTTACTCTTATGACTCATGAACATCTTATACAGTCCCTGAATCATTTGCTTTGTCTTTGACTATTAAATTGTCTATTTGATAATTTTTATCGTCTTTGAGTAGCTTGTCCTGTTTAGAGTATTATCTTATGTGTTTGATTATTTCATTTCTTCTTCGAGTGTGTTGTCATGTCTTTGAACATCGCCTTATGTCTTTGAGCATTACACTCTTTATGATTACATTGTATTATCGTTATGAATTGATCGAGTCAAGTGTTATGGATATTGTATAACAAATAATAATTTTATAATAACCATAATTGTACTTAATTATGGTTATTGTTACTAGTTTATATAATAAGATAATAATAATAATAAAATAAGTTATTATTTGAATAAAAGTTTATACAGTATGTGAGAATAGTATGTGAGAATGAGAAAACCCTGTGGATTCAACAAAAGTTACAATTGTGTAACTTTTATGTAATAAAATTATTATTTTTTTATTTCAAAAAATTCAAAAAGATCAAATAAAAAAATCACTTATTTACAGTTCATTTTCTCTTTCAATTTGTTTGGAAACCTACAAAGCAGCTTTCAGAGTGTGAACAGCCAGCCAGCACTTACCAACTAACTGACTCAGACCTCACGCTAAAGAATCCCAGGAATACTGGACAAATCAGCCATAGCAGCTAGACGATTCAAAGCAGGCAACTTTGAATTCAAGAGTCTTTATGAGCAAGTTCTACAAGTTAATATCTCAATAACGAAAGAAAGTTTAACAAACGAATATTTTCTATTGGAAGGACTTATGATAGTTCAGACATATGTTGATTCAAACAGTGACCATTCTGACCTGTGATAGGAAACAGTAATGTGAACTGGGCGATACAACTGATTAAAAAGATAAAAATCAATCGATTAAATTCTCAACCCCATTTTTAGTTATTTTTGAGATTTTTTTGGTCGTCTTTTTCTTCACAACTTTACATACAACATCCCGTTCTTTTCTTTTTAACGGCTTGCAAACAGACTGACACGAATAACCCTCAAAACACATTGAAAGCTTTCGAACTGCAGATATTTTCAAGCTTTTGGTTTTGACGCATTCAATTGAGTATAACTGTGGTATACTTAACAGTTTCGGTATTTCTGCTGTTACTCTGCGTGACACTCCAATATCCACATACGCAACCCTCATACCACTATCAACAATTCTGAAATCAATACCAACTTGCCTAAAAGCCTGCGTGCACACATCCGGAGTGGTTGTTTGGAAATAAGACTTCAGAATTGAGTTGAGGTATTTGGCAAACTTTTTTTCTAAGTCCTCTCCATCACCGAATTCAACAATTTTAGTTTCATTTGGTATTTCGTTGCGATCTTCTGATTGGTTGTCATCCACCATCCTTTCGTTGACAGTCGTACCAGCCTTCTTTTTAAATGGTGATATCGCTTCTTGTGGATTTGCCAGCACTTCCTGAAACATTTCCTTAAACTGTTGAGGTATTATTGGTTCTTCAATGGGATCTTGGCTTCCAATCACATCATCTGACTCTTCTTTTTCTTCAACGTCTTCACTTTCTGTCGTTGTTGTTTCTTCCTCGCCAACTCTATCTTTAATTTTTATGACATCTCTGAACTTAGCATACAACGAATTCAGTCTTCTTTTTTGGGCTGCAAACACCCCAACATCTAATGGTTGTGTTAAATGTGAGGTGTGAGGCACCAAACATACGATTTCACAGTTCACATTGATGATTTTCTCATTGAC